AGTGTTTTAGACTCTCTGCTAACTCAGGCACACATTACTGCATCAGTTACACTTGGCTCGCACTTTGAAGGTTTTATTTATAACCTGAACAGCTGGAGACCTTTTTTTTTTTAAATGAAAACGTAGATTCTGGAACACAAAATGATAGCCTATAAAATACCAGCGCTTTGAGCAGCTGCAATCCAGCCTACTTGACACTTCTCACTCTGTTGTCTGGATGTTTTTTTATCATTCCACTCTGACCTATTCCAGAGTATCCAGTTATCTCCTGCACTGCCCTGAAGATCCCTTTTATTGCCAGTATTTATGCAGCAAAGAGAATGCATGTGTTTTGGAGGCAGACTTCAGGTCTTGTGAAGAAGAGCCTAGATGAAGGAGGTCCCTTGCTGCATATCCTTGTCTGGTGTCAGATGGATGGGCAGCACTGTCTTTTTTTCAACTTAGGTAACTGGTACCCACCATTAGCCAATGCTTTCATCCCGCAACATCCAGCCTACAGTTTCTCGTCACATTGTTGCCTTCAGGCCCCCTCCTTATCTAGCCTAGTGATTTTCAACCTGTGGTCTGTGGACCCCTGGGGCTCTGCTGACTATTTCTAAGATTTCACCTCCATTTGAAATTTTGTAGAGGTCCCCAAATGAAAAAAAAGGTTGAAAACCACTTAATTGGACCACCTCCACCAAGCCAACGCCAACAAGCTGTTGCTGCCTCATCGACCCTCCTGAGTTGAAACCCAAGAAGCTGTTTTCCTGCACAGATGCCCTCTCCAGCATCGGGCCAATCTGCACTGAGCCAAGTAGGGGAGGGGATCAGGCTCTCAGGGTGACCACGACAGGGGCGGCTCTATGTATTTTGCTGCCCCAAGCATGGCAGTCAGGCGGCTTTTGGCGTGTGCCTGTGGGAGGTCCGCTGCCGCCAAAGGCTGCCTGACTGCTGCCCTCACAGCGACCGGCAGGCTGCCTCCGGTGGCTTGCTGCCCCAGGCATGCGCTTGGTGCGCTGGTGTCTGGAGCCACCCCTGGAGCACGAGCTGCCCCAAACAGTGGGAGACCCATATTTCTATGGGCACAATGACACAGAAGGACAGAAAGGCATTTCCCAGGTTCCTTCCTTGGGGCCTCACATCGGGTCTCGTGCGGTCACGGTGCCGGGACAGGGACCCAGGGGCCACGTGATGGGGCGGGCAAATCCCGATCCCCGGGAAACCTTCCCGCGCTGAACCAGGCCCAGACCCTCCAGCCGGGTATCTTGGGCACGGAGCCTGGAGAGCGCCCCCGGTGACGTCATAATCACTCATGGAACGGGACGGGACGGACGTTCCTATTTATGAGGGCGGTGCAGGCGGCCGCTTCCCTAAGCGCTCCCGGCTCCTGGTGAGAGGCCCGAGAGAGACAACAACAGACACCAGTTCGAACCGCACAGCACGCTGGGAAGGCAGCTGGTTGCTGCTTCTCGGTTTCTCCCGCGGAGAAAAGAGGGCGGCCGCACCGGTAGTGAGGTCATAATGGACAGACGGAAGGAAGTGGCGAATCGGCTGCATCCGTTGTTCTTAGCTCCGAGAGCGGTCCCCGCGCGCCCGCTGCAGCGGCTCGAGGCGGGAGGGGGTCAGGGCTCGCCGGTGGTCGGGCTCGCGACGCGCGTGCAGGCGGGAAGCCGCTGCAGTAGCGGCCTCAGCCGGGGGCGAGGCGGGCACGCGCCGCGGGGCCGAGCCGCGAACATGGCGGAGGCCGCGGCCTCGGAGCCACTGGGCCGGAGCCGGCAGGAGGCGGCCTGGGTGGAGAAGCTGCGAGGGGACTGCGAGCCCGAGCACCACTGGCGGCACCGCCGCGAGTTCCTGCTGCGGAACGCGGGGGGCTCGCCCGCCGGGGACAGCGGGGCCCTGCAGCGCCTCGTCTCTCTCTCCATGGTGTGGGCCAACCACGTCTTCCTGGGCTGCCGGTGAGTGGGGTGGGCGGTGGCGGAGGGACACTGGCCAGGGTTGGGGCGCCCCGTTTGCGGGCTGACGGGCGCGCGTTTCCCCTGGAGACGTGCTGAGCTCGCTCCCGTTGTCTCCCCTGCCCAGGTACCCGCTGTCAGTGATGGAAAAGGTGCTGGAAATGGCTGAAGGCATCAAAGTGACCGATGCGCCCGCCCACACTACGAGAGATGAACTGGTTGCCAAGGTGAAGAAAAGAGGCATATCAAGTAGCAATGGTTAGCAGATCATAGCTGTGACAATTCCTAGGAGTCTAGAAAATGATTTTCAAATGTTGAGAACTTGCCTTTGCCCATCTTTAATAATCGGGATTTAATAGCTAGGATTTAAAACCTCCCAGGATAATAGTTTTATGTCCGTGCTAACTCTCATTTGTCAGTCTCAATGTTAAACTTTAAACATGAGAGTACAGTATCTTGCTATTTTAAGTGTTTTACTGTTGCTGTTTGATTGCATCAAATGCTTCTGAATTACTAGGGGCAGGTCTTCACTACAGGGGGGGTCGATTTAAGATATGCAAATTCAGCTACACGAATAGCGTAGCTGAATTTGATGTATTGGAGCCGACTTACCCCGCTGTGAGGACGGCAGCAAAATCGTCCTCCGCGGCTCCCCGTCGACGACGCTTACTCCTACCTCTGCTGGTGGAGTAAGCGCGTCGATTCAGGGATCGATTGTCGCATCCCAATGAGACGCAATAATTCGATCCCCGAGAAATCGATTTCTACCCGCCGATTCAGGCGGGTAGTGTAGGCCTAGCCTAAGTTAAAAGTATTCTTTAAATAGGTTTGTCAACCTGTTGCAGGCATTTGTGCTCTGACCTTTCATCCCATTATATTGTGCTCACAGTAGGCTTTTCTAATAATAATGATGACCAATGTGAAGCATATCCAACTTTATACTCATATTGGCTGTAAATGTGTCTAGTTTTAAAGAAATTCCCAGAAGAAAACAGTGCTTTGAAGAGATTTAGTAAACAAAATAGAGAGGTGTCCAAATCAAAACCTTGCATTTGAACCCTGGATCTATGTTTGTATCATAGCACCCAGTTTAGCATATCTCTCTGCAACTGAAATGCCTTGGAATTTCAAGGTAACATTTGGAATCAGATTTCAAACTCTTGAGTTTGTGGGTGTTTAAGCCAGTGGTTCTCAACCTTTCCCAGACTATTGTACCCCTTTCAGGAATCTGATTTGGCTTACATATCCCAAGCTTCACCTCACTTAAAAATACTTGCTTACAAAATCGGACATAAAAATACAAAAGTGTCACAGCACACTATTACTGAAAAATTGCTTACTTTCTCATTTTGTCTGTATGAAATTTAGTATGTATTGACTTTTCTAGTGCTTTTTAAGTAGCCTGTTGTAAAACTAGGCAAATATCTAGATGAGTTGATATACCCCTGTAAGACCCCTAGTTGAGAACCACTGCTTTAAACTAATCAGTTTTAGGTCCAGGAGAGATTTTTGTTTAGACTAGTATCTCTAGAAACTTTAAATCAATTGCCAGTAGTCAGGGAGCTATGCTTCATAGTTATGGAAGTAAGGACATAACTCTATTTGTGTTTTTTAGAAGGGGTAGAGGAACCTTGCAAGAAACGAGCCGTTGACAAAAGTAGAGATTCTAAGGATGTTGGAAATGATTCTAAGTCGACAAAGACAGAAGTTTCCAAGGAGACCGAGAGCATGTTGCCGAAGAAAGAGGAAAAAGATGTGGGAAAAGATTCAGAGCATTCACTGTCATCCTCAGTTTCAAACCAAGAAAAGAGCTCAGTGCCAGGAACGGGAACAGAAACAAAAGCAGCTAATTATGAAACCACTACCAAGCATAATTCAACTGCAGCACCTGCTTCATCTGGAACTGAGTCAAAAATGAATTATCATTCCAGTATGGAAACCAAACATGAAAAGAAGAGTATATTGCCCAGCGCTGCGGCGGCGGCTTCCAAAAGCAGCTCCCTGGCCAGCGCTCCGCCAGTGGCTGCGGCTACCAAAAGCGGCTCCCAGACCAGAGCAGCGGCTACCAAAAGTGGCCCCCAGGCCAGCGCTCCACCGGCAGCGGCTACCAAAAGCGGTTCCCAGGCCAGCGCTCCGCCGGCAGCGGCTACCAAAAGCAGCTCCCAGGCCAGCGCAGCAGCAGCGGCTACCAAAAGCAGCTCCCAGGCCAGCGCAGCAGCAGCGGCTACCAAAAGCAGCTCCCAGGCCAGTGCTCCACCGGCAGCGGCTACCAAAAGCAGCTCCCAGGCCAGCGCAGCAGCAGCGGCTACCAAAAGCAGCTCCCAGGCCAGCGCTCCACC